ACAGCATCCGCAGCTAACAAAAGTGTAAGTAAAGGAGCACGGATAAGTTGCTTGGCGATAAAATTTCCTAGGTGCATGTGCCATAAATTCTACGCTAGTCATGGATGATAGCCCACCTATCGCGAGCGCACAGTAGCCCCCTTCCCCCATCCAAAATTGCGCGTGAAGTCAAAAAGTCGCGTCGTGAACGCACACAGTCGGGCATACCGTAACCTGGGTGGGTTTCTAAGTTTGAGATACGTTTTATAGCCCACGTTATACGTCTTTTGCAAAACCTGACCGAGCAGGTGCCCACGCTCGTGACAGGTTACCGTAATCTAAACAATGAGTCTGGATCGGCCATGTAGTTCCGCGACCCATTGTGTGCACCCACACAATTATTTTACGCGCAATTGCGGGGGTACGTATGTACCCTGATATACTGAACATATAATTTAGTTTTCTCGCACATGAAAAGTATTTCAACCAGTTTCCCTTGCCATATAAAGGTTCAAAAGGAACTAATAACTGGTTTCAAAGAATGGATGGCTAACGCGTCTCCAACCACTACGACAGCATTCAAATAGCGCATCGACGCGCCGTAACGCGCTGTGACACGCGTCACCGCGCTACATTTCACGGGGTAAGGCGTTCTAGAGCGCTTTGACGCGCGTTATAGAGAAGTCTTCACGCTGTCTAAAGGACGCCAGGTCTTTTTGGATCAGGGTCAGCGCTAAATCCGAAGTAGTCATTATTAGTCTCCGTGCGTCTACGATTAACTATGACTGGAAGCTTGCATTGTTGCAAAATTATGCAACAGCAAGCTATCGATTGATCACTGTGGTGGGCCATGAGCTTCGCGCCAGAAGATCTATGGGTTATGTAAAGAAGAGTTCCTCGTGTATATTGTGACTTGCAGTTACACTCTTATCCCGGGAACAGAGTGGGTGTGACTTTGGAACATGGCATAGAATGCGCTACTCGTGAGATATACCCATTTCCACTTTGATAATTCACCACTTTTCAAACCAAATTCACCACCTTTCAAACCAAATTCACACCTTTCAAACCATATTCACCACTTTTCAAATCAAATACCACTCTTTTTAGACCGGGCAGTTCACCAACCACATCACGCCAGACACCACTGCGAGCCCCGCCCCGACGGTCACGCCTACTTGTCAGCGCGGACATAGATTTTCAACACATCGACACATGGCCGACTCCGCCCATTCTTCAAGGGAGTTTGTTGCGAACTTCGAAATTTCATAACTTTTTCGACTTTTAATTTCACATCCACTCTTTGCGCAACAAAGATATTCGTACCCGCATTTATGCACTGGCAATTTAGGCTCCGCCCCCTTAGACTCGCCCACATGCCTTTTGCGGAATTTTGACTTTTTTTTTCAGAATTTTTGGCATTTTTAAACTGCTAGCGTGAGCTCGCCACGCCACCTATGAGATGCCGCTCCGAGCTCGCGCAATTTTTTTCAAAATTTTTGCATTTTTGGACTGCTGCGTGAAGCCCCGCCCACTGTGAGAGGCTCCGCCCACTTCAAAAAGCCCCGCCCACTTTTCAAAAATGGTGCAAATCGGCAGTATAGAGTCTTGGCTTGCATGCTAGGGTCTCGTCCGTCACTCGGAACAAACTTTGCCTGATTTATTTGTTACTGCCAAAAATGCAAAAATTTTGAAAAAATATCAAAATTCCGCAAAAAGCAAGTGGGCGTGGCCAAGGGGGCGGAGCCTAAATTGCCAGTGCATAAATGCGCGGGTACGAGTATCTTCGTTGTGCAAAGAGTGGATGTGAAATTAAAAAGTTGAAAAAGTTATGAAATTTCGAAGTTCGCAACAAACCCTTTGAAGAATGGGCGGAGTCGGCCATGTGTCGATGTGTTGAAAATCTATGTCCGCGCTGACAAGTAGGCGTGACCGTCGGGGCGGGGCTCGCAGTGGTGTCTGGCGTGATCTGGTTGGTGAACTGCCCGGTCTAAAAGAGTGGTGAATTTGATTTGAAAAGTGGTGAATTTGGTTTGAAAAGTGGTGAATTTGGTTTGAAAAGTGGTGAATTCAAAGTGAAAATGGTATATTTCAGTCTGGAACAACTGTCGTTTGTTCTGCGTGGACAGAGACCGACCACAATTGTGTCAGTTTGAAAACATCTCTCTAAAAACACAGCCACCGCCACGTTTAGTTGATGTACGCAGCACGCCTACCACATCTCCGGGTTTTCGGATTTGCATACCAGCCAGTCGTTGTTCAAATACGCCTCACTCTTGTAGGAACTTCTTCCCGTCCCATGAACAGTAAACTTCACCAGTTTGAAAAGGATACGGTTCCGCTTTCCTTACAACTGCGAATTGAACCCCGCAGGACTTAGCGTCTGGGCCTTCTAGGGCTCTGACTGTCAATTTGGGCGGCTGCATGTAAGTTCAGTTACCTTACTTCTCGCGAAAGGCGGCAATCCTTCGCTGAAAACAGGCACTGTTCGGCCTGGGAAGGGCTTGTTGTGCTTTCGCTACCTTCGAGGCGATTGGCAACTGTTGATGGGAACTAGGCAACATTGCCTGGCTTACCTGGAGGTGGTTCAAAGGTGACTTTCAGACTGCGCTGCAACATTATTGCTGGGAACTTGTTCTCCTCCTCGGTTGTCATCCATAAGACGAAACTTTTCGTGTGGTGTTACGGTAGCTAGTTCCTGAAACGACCGACCGTAATATTTGTGAAACCCGCGTCAAAATCCATAACAACGCACCTTCTGAATAACTGGAATGATACTGAGCATTAGGTGGACGTTCTGCAGGCAAAGCCATTGACCTTCAGAGGAAGCCCGTCGAATGCCGTCGATCGTAGCCTGTTCCTGACCCTGCCCCATCGATATAGACGTGTAGTTATGTAAACCTATCGTATTCGCAGCTAACTTTTCCAGTTCCTGAAAAGATTGCCGCATTAGTGGTGGACGAAGAGCGGTAGAACTTGTTCTCTTACCTGACTGGGATCAGCTCCACCGGCAAGAATAAGCAGTATAGGTTCCTGATTGGAGCTTTCGCGAAAGATATCAGAGAGATCGAACGGTGGCGGATTAACAGAAGGGATTGCTGGAAAGATCTGATTTTCTTTAGTCAAACCCAGGAGGCTGATGCATCGAATCCGCCTGTTCTCCCATTCAACGTGTGAGACGTCCCTCACGCTGGTATGTGCTCATTCGGCGCTGTTCGGCGACTGAGGGGGGGGGGACTTTGCACTTTCGCAGCTTCAGTTGTCAAGTCTCTCTTTGATGAAACCTGTGAACTCTTGTTAGCTGGAGCAAGCTTGTCCAGCCACCATGATCAAACCTGTTAACCCTCGATGAGAAAATGCAAAAGTGCAAAATGCTCCCCTCGTCGCCGAACTGGCCTGGTAATTCCCTTCTAACCTGCGCGAACGTTAGTGCACCGTCGAAGGGGACGGGTTGCGCGACTATTGGGGCCACATAGATGGACGGGTGGCATCCTGACAGGGCCTGCTATCCACGGAGGCTATCTATGGAGGGTGGAGACGCTGCATCCCACCTCGGAGCTGCATGTCGAACTAAGTCCAAGTTGTTCATGTGGGTGGAGAGGGTGTAGATAAGGACAAAGTCTTTGTCGTTAATCAATGTGCGGTTGGAAGAGGCTGTAGATTGTGGCGTGGAGAGGGTGTAGATAAGGACAAAGTCTCTGTCGTTAATCAATCCCTTTGGGGAATGCGGCACGCAATCTACTTCCTTTCAAGATCGTAGCGTCAGTGTTCTTAGCCTCTCAGACGAATCTGGTACCAATT